TCCCTGTCAAGCCTCCTTTTTGTCTTCTGCTGAAACAGATGCCGGCTCCCCATTGATAGAGCAGCAGAATCTGCTTCTCTGGGGACCAACAAAAGGATCAGACTCAAAGCCCTTGTGAACAAGCCTGCAAAGGTGACTGTGTACTTGGCCCTTGGCCAAAGCCTCCTGTCACCACCAAGCATGATACTCCTCAGATCACTTTGAATTTCAGTGTCCCTGCCCCACTACCATGCCCTGATAATGGAACCCCTTGCCATCTCTACCACACCAGACTCCTCTGAAGACCAAATTCTTGTTTCAGTAATGTACTGAGAAACTGACAATCACACACACACACGCACACACACGCACACACACACACACATTTTATTTTTATATAAAATAAAGGGCCATGTACCCAACATCCTTTACAATGCAATAGCCCAGAGGTCTCCTTAGAAATTTTCAAGCCCCAAGCTCTCTGGGGGCTTGTTGTTCAGAGAGCTACATCTAGGAGGTCTTACAGTGTGGCACAGAGTGCCCACAGTTCCCGGGAGAGGGGCCGTGCTTAAGAACGGAACTCATTTCCTGCGCTTTCCTTTACCAGACATTGGCAGAGCCTGGTCGGCTGCTTTAGCACAGACTGCAATTGGAGGTGTGGTTCTTTGGCATTTAATCTCCCTCGATCCATCCAAATGGACTTGGCACAGGGCACAGGCCCAGGAGGACTGCAGGAGACTGGGGGACGGGGCGGCTCAGGACACACATCTGGACGCCCAGTAGAAGAGCAGGGAGGCTGGCCATGTCTGGAGCAGTTTTGGGAACAAGTCACTGCTCCGGGGTAATACCTTAGTCTGTCATACCCATCTCTTTCCTGTGGTCCCTCCTCTTCCTCCCTGTCAGGGCCCCCAGCTCCAAAGTCAGTCATGTTGGAGCCTGTCCCAACTGTAAAAAGACAGGGCTCTGGATCTCGGGATAAACTTCCAGGCCAGGGCCCTCCAGGGAAGTCAACTGGAGTGGGGTGGGGGAGGTGGAGATGCTGGGCTCCAGTGAGAACCAATTATCCACAGCCAGAAACAGGCCTCACATTGCTGCAAACACAGCCTCCTGGCCAGAAAGCCTCCCCAGGTCCTTGGACTCAGATTAAAACCCCAGCTCAGCCAGTGAATGACAAGGGGATTGAACAGAGCCAGCTTACATGTGGTCCCCTCCGAATCCCTGGCGTGACCACACCCTTCCTCTTGCCTTTCTCCTCCATCCTTCAACATCTCCTTGCTGTTATTCTTCCTGGAGAAGGGGCTCTCGGTCCCCTCCTTGTACCCGCTCATCTTCCTCCTTCTCCATGCAGCCCACGGTAGCAGCCAGACCGGCACCCACACCACCCCCAACTACAGCAGCTCCGGTGGCCCCCACCGCTGCCCCAGCTGCCACCATTCCAGCTTCAGCAGCCAATGCTGCCGCTGCCATGCCTGCACCCACCACACCCCCTGCCAGGCCCATGAGCCCGGCACCTACAGCGCCCCCCACTGCGGCCAGGTGGCCACAGAAGCGCATTGTGTAGGAGTCCATGAAGGCCTTGGCCTCCGCCTGCAACTCAGCTTCCAGGGCCTCCAAGGTCTGCTCTCTCTCCTTGCACAACAAGGCCACACCATGGCGGGCCAAGATGGCGTCCTTCTGGGTAGAGAGGAGGTTCCGCATGGTATCGGGCAGGACTCGGAGTGCAGAGAAGATGCGCTTAGTGGCTATGTCCTGTGGCAGTGGGAAGGAAAGACGGTGATCCACCTGGGTACCCAGGCAGCCTCTCTGGCACAGCCACCCCTGCCGCCCCTGGGGCTCACCTGCTGCCTCACATACTCCTCAAACTCCTTCTTGGCAGCTTCCACTTTCCTCAGGTCATGGAGCTGAGCAGCCATCTGTCCATGGGAAAACTCAGGCTGCTTCCCTCTTTCCTCCTCAGCCAGGGATACTCCAGGCTCTTCATCTCCACTCCCAGAACATTCAGACCTTACCCGAGATCATCCTCCCTGACCCCACCCTCCCCAAGGGGAGGGGCTCCTTACCTCATCTGGAGAGCTAAAACTGGGCCCCGTCTTCCCCATCCAACCTGAGAGGTTCTACAGAGACATCACAGCCAGGTCAGGGAAGGCAGGTGCCTGCCTGCTGAGCCCAGACTCCCTGGGAAGTTTGCACACCTTGATCTCCTGTGCTAGCTGCTGCCCTGTGAGCAGGCGTCTGTCCCCTCTGGCTATGGCACGCCCCTCACTCCAGTACCCATGGCAGCGGCTCTTAGCATGCTGAGGTGCTGTGCTCAGCACATCCGAGATGTAGGCCCGGAAGAAGTGAGAGAAGTCATCTTCTGTGTCTGAAAAAAGAGATTCCTCAGACTGAGGAGCCTGGGCCAGGGAAAGACTGGGCCAAACGGGAGGCAATGCCAGAGAGGTCTCCACCTCTGGAACACTTACTGCCTCTTGGGCTTGCTTGACCTTTGCTTGGCCACTGCCTCTCAGGAGCAGGCAAGAGGTAACAGCGGGCCCGTTTCCCTAGGAGAAGCTCCTGGACCTTAGGGTATTTACCGGACAGCTTCTGAGAGATGGATTGTGGAGAAGTCTGAGCCAAGGGAGCAGACTCCGCCTGTAAGCACACTTCTGGAACACCCCCCAGCCTCCCTCACCTGCTGCCCCGGCATCGGCCTCTTCCCGCTGTACTGCTTACCTGGAGTATGTCACCCACGTGTCCCTGTCCTGACTTATTGTGATGGGAAGAGTCACGAACTAAGAGGTCCAGATGCTGGAAGAGAAAGGGTCCCGGCACCAGCAGCTGGGATTGGCAGTCCCTGGACCTACAAGTCTAGAAACAGGTGTCTCACCTGGATTGGCACCATCCCATAATGCTTGCCCATCACCTCAGCCACGTGAACGAACATCTGGGGATGGGTACAAAGAGTTTGGGGGTTGAGCTACACCAAGAGCTACAGTCTGCCCCCTAAGCCTTCTCTCTAGTCACCCTGGACCACTAGAGTAGCCAAGTTTCCTGCTTCAAGCTTGAAGGTTCTCTTGCCTCTTCCCCAAACCAGGCACCTCATGCTCAACTGTCTGTCATAAGCCAGTTCAAGTGTCATACAATTCCAAGCCAGAATGGGAAGGCTTGAGTTAGTTCCCTTTGGTCCAGCCCTCCTGACCTTGTGCTTGGGGTGTGTGGAGGTGATGGCTTCAATACCAGAAACTGCCTCACCTCTAGATAGCCCAGGTCTGTCCAGAAACAGCCTCACCTCTAGATAGCCTAGGTCTGTCCAGAAACGGCCTCACCTCTAGATAGCCCAGGTCTGTCCAGAAACTGCCCCACCTCTAGATACCCCAGGACTGTTCAAAAACTGCCCCACCCCTAGATAGCCCAGGTCTGTCCAGAAACTTCCTCACCTCTAGATAGCCCAGGTCTGTGTCCTTCAGCTCCTGGGAGGTGTTCAGGATCTGGAATGGAGGAAAGCATGAAAATGCAAGATTTGCAGAAGTAGGATGAGCTACTCCTGAGCGGCCTTTATCCCAGAACACAAGCCTAGTCTGGCATGAACCTTTCAGCCTAGCTACGAGCCATCTTCCAGCAGACTTGGAGAGTTTTGTGGTCCTGTGGGCCACCAGCTGTCCTTGAGGCCCATCGTCCCACCATTAGAACAACCCACCTGCCCACCTTCACTAAGAACATCCTCCTTCCAGAAGGACCTTCCAGAACCTGCAGGAACCCCAGACACCCAAATCTGCCACGTTCTCAGTTCTGAGGAAACAGGGTGGCCACCCCACCCAAGCACCTCTTTCACCTGGTAGGAGCTGAGCATCATTGTGAGAGCACAGAGCTTGATCCTTGTCTCCCTGCTCAGTTCCGGGCTCATGACATCTCCCGTGTCCACTAAGAACACAGCCACCTATCGACACAGAGCGAGGGTTAGGCCTGCCTTGCTCTCTGCTCGGCCCTTTCTTTGCCCTTACCCCAGAGATGTCCTTCTCATTCCTCGTTTCCTTCTCTCTCTCCTCCATACCTCCATCTGGTACCCTCCAGTCAATTTCCCTTCTGGATTCATGCTAACTTCCCTCTGCATCTCTCCCTTACCTTCTTCCCTTCTTTTCCCAGCAGGAAGGGGTGACTCCACATCCAGATGCCCCTAGTAAGGCCATTGGCACCCCATCTGATCCCAGGCAGAGACCCCTCTGTCCTGGGCCTGCCATTGTCACCAGATTCCTGAAGATGGAGAAGGTATCAGGTGGTCCAGTCTGCACCCCCAGAGATATTTCCCTCCCAGAGCCAGCTGGGGCTCTGCTTTGCCTCCCTGCATTTTCCTGCCAGCCCTGCCCTCACCAGGTTTGGTAAACCTCTGAGCAAGTGGTCCAGGAGGAAGGACTTTCCTGAGTGCTGCTCTCCCAGTACAGCAAGCAAACAGACAGGTGTGTCCCTGGCCAATGGATGCTTCAGGCAGCGGTTTATGGCCCCCATTCTGAGGATGAGGCCTCCAGAGGCATTGATACGCACCAATAGCAGCCGCTCTGCCCTCACGGCACAGGTCTCCTGGGTGGGACAGAGAAGGGTCCCCTGAGCATCCCAAATGAGACCGACCCCAAGTTGGAAGAGTGTCCAGCCTGGAACTCTGTGCCCCTTCCTGACAGTTTAGAATAGGGTCAAAGCTCATCCCCCACCTTGGGCCTAATCGGAGATCTCTGAGTGCAGAGCTCAAGTCCCTCACCTGCGGTGGAGGGGGCAGCGGCCGCTGCGGCAGGAGCTTCATCCGCTCCCCTAGACTGCGGAGGCCCTTCTTCTGCTTGCAGATTTTCCGGCACTCAGGGCAGCATGGTGGTTCACAGCCTGGGATGCGATGAGTGCTGAAGCACCGGATGCAGAAGTCATGGCCACAGTCCAGTGAGATGGGCTCTCGAAGCCTTTCCAGACAGATGGAGCAGGTAGGCGGCTCCCGGGGTGGGGAGGGACGGTGTCCCAGGCCCAGCTCCAGCTTGGGGAATGATGCATGGGACCTGGAGGGTATAGCATGCATCATCCGAAAGTTGGATGCCAGTGGGTGCAGGGCTTGGAGGGCTGACACCTTAGGGATGAAGGTCCCTCTGTGCCACCTCAGCTTCCTGGGGCCACCTGGAGGATGAGCTCCACCCATTCCTCACTTTCTTGTTCCCCAGGTCCTGGCCATCCTAACTGAGAACAACAGAACAGAGGGGAGAGTGCCCCCAAGAGCAACCCTCAGGGAATCCTGGATCTGACCATGCCAGCCATGCAACCATGGGCGGGGTACAAAGAAGAGACTGGAAGTAAGCACCCTGGTTGGGGTTGGAGGCAGTCATTCATGATGACTACCTCATCGACAAGGTGTCCAGGGCCAGCACTCAGGAAACCCATGGAACACCAGCCTTCTTGCTGCGGGTCTTCTTCAAGGGGGAACAGACTATAACCCCAGCTGCTAGGATAGTCAGGAGAGGGCGGTAGCTTCCTGGCACCCAGGCAGCCATTCTGCAGCTGAACAGATGGTCAGGTTCTCGGAGGATTCCTTGTGCTCTCCGAGCTGAGCATCTGTAGCACCCACCTGCTTGTCCTGGTCCCTCCCTGCACAGCCTGGCCCATTCAACCTTGCACTGGGGAAGAGCCCAGCCGAGCGCTCAGCAAAGGAGTCTGCCTGGACTGCAGAGATCCGTGCTCCTGGACCAGCTTCGCCTGCTGACCTGCCAGACCCACTGCACCAATCCCAGCCCAGAAGGCCCCGTGGCTCACCAACTGTTGCTGCTGTTTCCCATGAAGCTTCGTTTGCTCTCCTAGGAGGGGGGAGGGGACATATTTAGAGCAGAACCCAGACCCTGTCTTACTGCCGGGTTTCCAGGGTCCTTCCACCCAGCCACCCTTCCCCCTCCCCGGTGGCTTCTTCCCACCCCCCAACTCTCCTTCCCAGGTCTTAGGGCTTCAAGACTTGCCCGTTTGCCGAGCCGATGACAAAAAGCAGTGACTGACAGAGCGGGCCTCGGCATGGGAGGCTGGAATGGCAGAGGGTCCGATGTTGAGAGAGGACGACCACCGAGGTTTTTGCCGGTAGGACAGCCTTTCACCCAGAGGGCTAGCGGAGCAGGTGGAGGATGGAGCAGGGGGATGGGCTCCTCCGAGGCTCTGCCTAGCTGTCAGCGCTGGAGAATAAATGAGCTGGTCAGAAAAAAAGAGGCTGTAAAGGAGGGTGGATTCACCCCCAGGGGGGAGGAGACAGGGCTGCGGGTACCAGGGCTTCAGAGGAGAGATGAACCCAGCCCAGCTCAGAATCTCTGGCAGAGTCTGGGATGCAAGCAAGCCGAGGCGGTGAATCTCCATGGAGACGAAAGGGAAAGATAAGGACAGGGAGGAGGAGGGAGATGGAGAACGTGAGGCCACGTGGATGTACCTGGCACAGCAGGAAGTGCCTCCTGATGGAGCTCAGGACAGCACTGACCCTATAGGAGCAGCTGGGGTCTTCAGAGCCCGGGGCAGGGTGGGCAGAGGGAGGAGTGTGGGAAAACAGGAGCGTGTGCAACCGGGGCAGACCAGAGAAGCTATTGGTCCATTCAATCCTATTACTTACTTTGTCTGAGCATTCTCTGTGTGCTGAGCAGCATGATACTGCTGTGTTTCATATGACCCAGTGCATCTTGCCACCCTCTCCCAGGGTATGTCACTGGTGCCTGCTAGCTTACCATCTTCCTCATCATCTGGGGCTCTGTAAATCTCTTGGTGGGTGGGAAATAATTTTTTTTTCTTTCCCCTCCAGGGGCTTTTTTTTTCTGCTGCAAACTTGTGAAGGGATATCCCAAGACCTTTTAAAAAATAAATAAAAATAAAAAATAGAGCCGGGCGGTGGTGGCGCACGCCTTTAATCCCAGCACTTGGGAGGCAGAGGCAGGCGGATCTCTGTGAGTTCGAGACCAGCCTGGTCTACAAGAGCTAGTTCCAGGACAGGCTCCAAAACCACAGAGAAACCCTGTCTCGAAAAACCAAAAAAAAAAAAATAGTATTTAGTTTTTGACCCTTGGATACATGTATATATACATGTTTTTATAAAATACACACCAAGCCAGGCGGTGGTGGCCCTAGCACTTGGGAGGCAGAGGGAAGTGGATCTTTGTGAGTTTGAGGTCAGCCTGGTTTACAAAGTAAGTTACAGAACAGTCAGAGCTATTCAGGGAAACCCTGTCTCAAAAAAAAAACTAAGAAAAAAATAGGCAGTGGTGTCGCACACCTTTAATCCCAGCACTTGAAAGGCAGAGACAGGTGGATCTCTGTGAGTTTGAGGCCAGCCCAGTCTACAGAGCGAGTTCCAGGACAGGCTCCAAAGTTACGGAGAAATCCTGTCTTGAAAAACCAAAATAGATAGATAGGTAAGAAGGTAGGTAGGTATGTAGATAGATAGATAGGAAGATAGATAGATAGATAGATAGATAGATAGATAGATAGATAGGATCCACTACACAAACACACCTCTTCCCTGCACCCCTTCCAAACAAGTTCCCTTTTCACCTCCATGTCCTCTTTTTTTTTAACACTTCGCTGAGTCCACTTAGCTCATCCCCCATGCACCCTACCAGAGACCACATCCCAGGAGAAAAGTGACTCGCCCCCACCGGCAGCTGTCCATTGCCAAGAGCCACTCAGGTGGGGGGTGGAGCTTCCTGAGTCCCTTCCCAGGCTGTGCTGGAATATTGCCTGGCCTGATGGTGTGCAAATCTGCACATAACCACAGCTGCTGAGAGCCTGTGGGTGCATCAGTCACGTGGAGTCTGGAAGACAGCACCTCAGGGCACTCCTCCCCATCCTACAGCCCTGGCATTCTTTAGGGTGGAGGGGAGGCCAGGAGTTGATATAGATGTCCCATTTAAGGCTGAGCACGATGCAGTCACTTACTCTCTGTCGCGAATCTCTCCATTAACTGCGGTCCACTGCAAAGAAAGCCTCTCTGATGGAAGCGGGAGCAACACTCTGTGTCAAAACATAAATATTTAGAAAGCAGGTTGATAACATTTCCATTTAGCAAATGACAATGATCGGTTCCTTTTTTCTAAGGGCTGATGGCTTCCCTAGCTTTAAGCTTTTGAACAGGATTACAGTATCAGGTATGAATTTTCTACTGTGAGAAGGTCTCAAGTACAGTAAGAAAGTGGCTGATTACCCCGTAATGTTCATGTCACTCTTGCATCGCTGGGCACATTCTGCCTGTCAGGTCAGCGTGACTCGGTCCAGCAACAAGTAAAACCACCAGTATCCTTTGCTCCCCAGTATAACCCCTTCCTGGAAAGGCAGCCAGCAGGAAGTTAGTCCTAGTCAACTCTAGGGCAGGAAGTTAGTCCTAGTCAACTCTAGGGCAGGAAGTTAGTCCTAGTCAACTCTAGGGCAGGAAGTTAGTCCTAGTCAACTCTAGGGCAGGAAGTTAGTCCTAGTCAACTCTAGGGCAGGAAGTTAGTCCTAGTCAACTCGAGGTTGATTCCTCCATATCTTGCAAACAAAATGTGTGGTGTCTTCAGCAACTGAGTCCACCATTTAGTCAAGGTGTGCAAACAAGAGTATAGCAATGGTCTGTGTTTTGGGGGAGCAGGAGTTATGGGGGGGGTTCTGAGGCCTCTTTGACCGTAACACATTGGGAAATATCATATACCTTACCCTGAGATCTTGTTTAATAACCCATGTCTTCTTGGAGTAACAGTGTCCCCATGTGGAGTAAATCTGTTTAAAAGCCTTTTTTAAAAATTGATTTACAGGGGGCTGGAGAGATGGCTCAGAGGTTAAGAGCACTAGCTGCTCCTCCAGAGGTCCTGAGTTCAATTCCCAGCAACCACATGGTGGCTCCCAACCATCTATAATGAGATCTGGTGCCTCTTCTAGTGTATATATGTTAAGAGAACATTGTATGCATAATAAATAAATCCTTTTTAAAAATCGATTTGCAAAGTAGTGAGTTTCCATGAGGATTTTTTGTGCCCCTTAGCTTTGGTTAACCTGCACCCATCATGTCACTGTCCCCATTTAGGCCTTTAACCCCTCGTGTTCCCCGTCTACTGTAATATCACGTGTTCTGCTATCTCCTCCTCCCATTAAGGCCACCTTCCCTCACCTCCCAGGCTCAGGTGCCCTTTCTGGCTTTCTGACATTTGAAGTGAAACACACACATCTCAAATGTTGAAGCTAGGATTGACATATGAGAGAGGGCACAGCGTGATGATCTCTCTGGGTCTGGGTTATCTCGGTATATTTTTTTTTCTGGTCTCATCCATTTTCCTGCAAGTTTCTCAATCTCATTTTCCTTTATAACTGAATAGACCTCCGCTGTGTCTGTGTACCACATTTCGGTTCATCAGCTGATGGACACCCAGGCTGGTGTCATTTCCTGTCATTGTGAACATGGATGGGCAGGTATCTACGTGTTCAGATATGGAGCCTTAAGCGTCTGTATTAGTTACCTCTCTGTTGCTATAATAAAGTACCATGAGCAGGGCAACTTACCGACAAAGGAAGAGTTAGGCTTACAGACCCAGAGGGAGGAGAGTCCTTCACAACTTACTGACAAAGGAAGAGTTAGTTAGGCTTTCAGACCAGAGGGATGAGAGTCCATCACGGTGGGGAAGTGTGACAGCAAGTGGCAGACTTGGCAGCTGGAGCAGGAAGCTGGGGCTCACTTCTTTTTTTTGTTTGTTTGTTTTTGTTGTTGTTGTTGTTTTGTTTTTCGAGACAGGGTTTCTCTGTAGCTTTGGTGCCTGTTCAGGAACTAGCTCTTGTAGACCAGGCTGGCCTCGAACTCCCAAGGGGCTCACTTCTTGAGAGTGAAATGGCAATGGCACAAGGCTTTGATATTCTCAAAGCCCAGCCCTGTGCCATACTTCTTCCAACAGGACGACGCTTCCTAAACTTCCACAAACAGCACCTGTTTTTGTTCTTGTTAGGTCTCAAAGAAACCTGGGTACCGGCATGTTCAGCCTGGGCTTGCCCCTCCTCCTGCTTTCTCCCTTACAGCTACAATAAAAATCTTCTCCACATTTTAGGAGCAGTCATTTCCTCCCCCCTTTATTTCATTTTTTTCACTCAGTTTTTGTTTTTGAAAGGCTTTTTATTAGGAGTGAGGAAACACACACACATACAAGAGGCTCACAGAGATAAAGACCCTCACAGAGCAGAGGGGGGAGTCAGGAAGCTAAAGCCCAGCCTCTCACTGAAGTCTGGGAAGGTTTAAGTCTTTGAGGGGTTTTCCTCCCCTAACTTAGAGTTGGTCAGTTTGAAGGATGACCAGGTGGGTGGTTGATCCACAACCATTGTGTAAATGTGTCCTGATCTGGTCTTGAACTTGTTAAGCAATCCCATCAGTAGAGGCTCTACTAGCAGGAGGAAAGAGTCTGCAAGGCCTTTGTTTTAAGATGCCAGGCTTTTGTCTTGGGTCAGGAGGGTGAGGAAGAAGCCAGCCATCTTGTAGGTTCACCATCTTTATTGTCTACCCATGGCGCCTCTCCATATCTGTGTGCCTTCCAGAGAGTCTGGCTAACTCTAGTCTTCACCCCTCCCCACTCTCAAAGGTCACCCTAAGAGCTGCCCCCAGGGGCGATGGGCAGGAGCAGCAGTCAGAATGCCTCAGGAGAGCGCTGCTCTCGGGTTTCACAATGAAACTTAACCAACCACAAAGATTCAGAAGGTGAAAAAGCCATTTGATGACTGTGCACTAGCATCTCAGTTGTAAAACAGGGTTCCTGTTGAGATTATCTACGTTCTATTACCAATAAAGACGTGGAAGTCAGATATTGGGGTGAAAACCTGATAGATCAAAGAAGCGGTGGAGGAATGACCAGCTGATCTTCTCCCCACACTTGCCAGACCCAAAAGGAACTCCAAAAAGCCCGCAATAGCCAAATCCCTCCCTACACCTTCCTGTGCCTCTCTATCCGTATCCTGGGTCCTCCGTGTTCTCCATGACTGATTCTTGTCAACTAGTCACCGGCTCCACTCTCTGATTCAAGGTTAACTTTATGAACATGGTCTGGGGGTGTCACAATGCAATCAAACTTCCTCCACAGGTTCCTGTGAGATTATAGTTGACCTTGCTCAGCCTTTGGTTAGTGTAAAACAGGAATGACTATTGAGACAGCCTCTCTCCCAAGACAGTCTGTCTCACTTGGGCAAACCGTTTCAGGAAAGAGAGACTGCGGAGAGAAATGTGGGCTCTGGCTGCAGCAATCTCCTCACTCCCAAGCCCCTCGCTGCACACCTACAAAGGGTTGCAGTCAGCTCCTTTTCTAGGCAGATCTTTCAGTTTGCTGAGGGAGAGAGGCTGCCCCTCACTGTGTGTGCTAATAAACACTGTTCCATCTGTTGAGGTCAGACTCTGGCCTCTCTGCCTTGTGTCCCTTTCTGCTGCCTCAGAAACCTCTGTGGGTGAGGCAGCATCCGCAACACACGGGAAGAGAGACTGTCGGTACTCCTGTGATTCCTCCGACAGGGCAGCTAAGAAAACAGGGGCAGTTTTGCCCATATTCAAGGAAGAGAGGAGACAAGGACCTTAAAGAGCCCGTGCAGGCTTTGTCGTAGGCATTAGCAAGACTGATGGGCTTTGCACTCTTGTGCACTATAAAATGTACAAGGTGGAGAAGACCCGAAGTTCAGCTCAAGAGGTTAAGACACTTCCTGGCCAGAAAAAGGAAGATGGCTAGTTGCCCAGGGCAGTATCCCGTCAACAACTGCATCAAACTGTGAGATAAAAGTCCAGCCGATGATGTGAGACTCAATCTCTGACCTACTTTAGGCTTAAAACCTAAGTGAACGTCCCACCCCGCTGTGATTTCTCTCTCCTGGGCTTCAGCAATGGTTGCTGGGTTTCAATAAGAAGGGAAAGGCATTTGAGAAAGAGGAATAGTAAGTCAAAATCATCCTTCAAGCAAGGGATTGATTAATACCAGAAGAAGCCGCATAGTGAGGGAATCTGAAGGAACTTCTGTCCTGCCAGAGAAAGCAAAGGTTTGCAAAGGGAGACAATGACTTGCATTGTGAGGAAGCAGGCTTAGTTAATATGTGATCTATGCTTGTGAGACTCAAGGCTCAGTGGGTAAAACTGCTTGTTGTGCAAATATGAAGACTTGAGTTCAAGTCCATATAAAAGTCAGGTGCTGCCAGGCAGTGGTGGCGCACGCCTTTAATCCCAGCACTCGGGAGGCAGAGGCAGGCGGATCTCTGGGAGTTCGAGGCCAGCCTGGTCTACAAGAGCTAGTTCCAGGACAGGAACCAAAAACTACGGAGAAACCCTGTCTCGAAAAACTAAAAAAAAGGGGGGCTGGAGAGATGGCTCAGTGGTTAAGAGCATTGCCTGCTCTTCCAAAGGTCATGAGTTCAATTCCCAGCAACCACATGGTGGCTCACAACCATCTGTAATGAGATTTAGTGCCCTCTTCCGGCCTGTGGACACACACAGACAGAATATTGTATACATAATAAATAAATAAATATATATATATATAAAAAAAAGAAAAACTAAAAAAAAAAAGTCAGGTGCCTAGTGCAAACATATGTAATCCCAACACTCCCATGAGAGAGATGGATGCAGAGACAGGAGTGCCCCAGAAGCTTGTGGGCCAACTAGCAGGCCAGCTAACCTAGAATATACAGGGGAAAACAAACAAACAAACAACAAAAAAAAAAAACCAGAGATCCTGTCCTAAAGTGAGGTGTGAGGTAGAATGATGTGGGAGTCCCCTCTGTATACTGTGATTACCATTAATGAATAAAGAAACTGCCTTGGACCTATAGCAAGGAAGCACTTAGGCGGGGAAAACTAAGCTGAATGCTGGGAAGAAGAAGGGTCGAGCTGGGGATGCCATAGAGCTGCCCCCAGAGATAGACGTGCTGAAACTTTGCTGGTAGGCCACGACCTCGTGGTGATATACAGATTAATAGAAATGGGTTAAATTAATAAATAAGAGTTAGTCAATAAGAAGCTAGAGCTAATGGGCCAAGCAGTGATTTAATTAATAGAGTTTCTGTGTGATTATTTTGGGTCTGAGCTAGCCCGGTGGCCGGGAACCAACAAGCGGCCTGCCCCCCTCCAACTACAGTAGAAGGCAAGGACTGACATCCAAGTTGTCTTCTGCCTTTTGTTGGAAAAGAAGAATCTCAGTGTCACACAAAGGAACACACAAACAAACTGAAAGTATCGGTAAGGCCAGTGCTTTTCATAAAAAGGGTGAGCCATGACCCAAACCAGGCTGGCAAGTTGCAGCCCACATTGCCTAGATGGCCGCTGTCTTTTATCCCTATTGTAAGGAGCAGCTAGGCTGCTCCTCATTGCCTAAGATCCAGCCCTAGAGTCTACTCCCAACTGGCTAATCCAGAAAGTGGCGTGAAAATAAAGACAGAGGGAGAATGTAAAATTATCCATGTTTATATGTTTAAGCATTTCAGGGATTACAGGAAGCTGGTTACGCCTGGTCAAACAAGCTCATCTAACAAAGAACTAACAAACAAGACTGGAGGTGGGGGCAGGGTGCAAAGCAGACACACAGTCCTGAGGCCTGTTAGCAGGAAGAGAAATGAGGGCTGGAGAGATGGCTCAGTGATTAAGAGCACTTGTAGCACCTGCAGAAGACCTGCCTTTGTCTTCCTGCACTCCCACAGCGGTGGACAGCTGTCCGTAACTCCAGTCCCAGGACGCACACGATAAACCAACATAAAGTCAAACACTCATACACAAAAAGAAATCAAGGAAACTTTTGAATTTTTAAAAAAGAAATGGCTGGATCTCTCACACTCCCACATATACGACATGGGATGTACATACCTGTATGCA